GAAAGTAGGATTAAGAATGATTATCTTACGTGAAACTAGTAAAATTTGTTAAAGTTAATTTTAATCCCATTACATAAATTATCTTTTAAAAGGAATTTTATTGTACATAAATACATCTGATAGATGATTGTTTATTTGAATGAATTTGTAAATGACTCTTCATCTGTTAGCCATGCTTGTTTCAGGGGTAGGATTCCATACTGTGGTATTCTTCCTCTTTTATAAGTTGCCTCGTTTCTAGTGACCACTGTTTTCTTTTTTTTAACCTTTGCACTGTGATTTTTTTTATTGGCATACATTAGCTGTAAGAGGGGTTTGATGGTGACATGCCCATGCATGTAGATACACTGTGCTCCGTCCTCCCCCTCCAGCCCACTTACCTCCTTCCTGCTTGTCCTCCCCTGCCCTCTTACGACCGTCAGCTGTTTTCAGCCTTCTATTTTTATCATTTTGACCATATTGACCTGCTTTCATCTTCCACTCAGATAAACCTCTTATATTCTGTTTTCATTCTTTTAGTGTATATTACTTGTACCAAAGAGTTTCACTGTGGTTCTCTTTTTTGAATTGCACACCTTTTTAGGAAAAAAATACTTTTCATGTTAGTATAAACTTGTTCGTCAGTTATTTTTTTAGGTATCCTTTCTCTCTACCAAGTCACATCCTGGTAGATCTTTAGATTTGTATGAACTTCTGTTCACCCCTGCAGTTATAAAGTTAATGTCTTTGAATAAAAGTATTTATATATCATTTTTACTATACCTTGTAATTGACATATACATATAATAAAAGTCCTTTGTTTGCACAGATTCTTTTGTACTTTAATTTTACCAATAAATGATGACATCATGGGCATTTACTAGGCATGGGCCAAGTGTGGAGTTTTGAAGTCTCTATGACAGACTATTCTGCCACATATTCATGATACCAGAGGAAAACACCACTTCTTAAGGCTAAAGCCCAAATCTATTTTATATAACAAAAGTTTGGGTGCATGGCTTTAATGTATATAATGTATATATGGCTTTAATGAAATTAACTATAAAGCAAGGGAAAACTCTACTTTGGATGTTGAAGTTTCACAAAGAATCCCTCATGGTTTTGCAGGTTCAACAAAGCAAGATTGCTAATAGCGTTTGAGTTTCCATTATTGCATACCTCCACAAGGTTCCATTTTGTGTGTGTCTGTCTGTCCCTGAGCTGCTTTTTATTCAAGGCAAGCACTCTACCACTTGAGCCACAGCTCCACTTCTGGATTTTTTTGATAGTTTAGTGGAGATAAAGAGTCTCACAGACTTTTCTCCCTGGGCTGTCTTCCAACAGCAATCCTCAGAGCTCAGTCTCCTGTAGGATTACAGGTCTGAGCCACCAGCACCCATCTACAAGGCTACATTTATAACTGACCCTTTTTGTGATGGTTGTCTCTGGGGTGGGAACTTTTCCTCTGTCAAAGGCCATTTGGATATTTAAAATATCACAGACCATACAGAATTATCAATGCAGGCAGACAAGCTAATGATAGCTGATGAAAACTATTGTCTCCAATCCTGTACCAAATGATGTGGTAGGACTGGATGTTTTCCTCTATGGTAGATGTCATCATGCATGTACATTGCACATTGATACCAACTTTTCAGCCATCTCTTCCCTGCCAATCTATGGCTGTACTGGTGCTGGTCAAACCTTTGATCTCCAGGTCTTCATTTTGTTTTGACTGTGTTGCTAGATCTGCAGTTCTTGAGGTTTTTTTTTTTTTTTTTCGTTTATGGTATCTAATCTGTTAATTCTATCTGGTACTTTTCATTTTATTTTTTTTTCTGTAATGTTCTGATAGAACTGTAATTGATGTCTGCTAGGACCTTAATCCATCATTTTTGTCATTTCTGGTTCTGATTCTATAGGTTTTTCTTCTGGCCAAGGATCATATTTTCCTGCCATTTTACATCCCTAGTAATTTTAGACAGGAGACCAGACATTATGAATTTACATTGTTGCATGTGGATTTTGTACTAGCACAGAATTACACTTTTTTTAAAAAACTTTGGTTGGAAGGAACCCTAATCATGGGGATTCTTTCCTAGGCTTTCTGTCACTCCACACATGACTCATGTTCAGCCAAATTCTGAGATCTCTTCTGCTAGCTTTCTCTTTTTACAAGTTTGTATGAGGTACTCTGCCCACCAGTTCTGGCTACTTCATCTCTCCTTTACTCCTAGTTTCTTTTTTTAAATTTTTGTTACAAAGGTGATGTACAGAGGGGTTATAGTTACGTAAGTGGGGTAGTTAGTACATTTATCCCCCTTCCGCGCTCTCTCAAGTTGTATAAATTTTCAACATAGTGCCTAGTGCCCTTACTCCTACTTTCAAAACCCCGTGAGATTACTGATCTCCGTTGGGTTCTTCTGGCTTGCCACACCATGTCCTAGGAACTCCTAATCTACACACGTGAGTCCTTTCAAGGGCTTGGCTGTCCTGTACTGTGTGTTGTTCATTGAAAACTTCCTGTTGCCTCTTGTGCTTTTGTTTCACTTTCTTGTTACTCGTTGCAGGACTGTAAGTCCAGATTATCTTAACTCCCTCATGGATAGAAGCAGAACAGTTCCCTACATTTTTAAATTTTAGTTTTATCTTTTATTTCAAAGAGGTACTTTTACTGAAAGAAGTACTTGGTTATTGTACTTGTCTTTTGTTTTGTGTGTGTGGAGGGGTGTTGGAATTTGCCCATCCTTGAGCTTAGACTCAGCCTTGGCACTGTCCCTGATCTTTCTTGCTACAGCTCAACTTCAGCTTTTTTGGTGGTTAATTGGAGATAGGAGTCTCACTAACTTTGCTGTTCAGGTTGACTTCAAAACTTCATCTTCAGATCTTGGCCTCCTGAGTAGCTCAGATTCTAAGTGTAAGCCACCAGTACCTGGTGTTATTGCACATTTTTATTGGGAACTTTTTCTGGATAGCTTCTTCTGTATAATTAATCTTGTTCTTTATCTTTGTCTTCTTACTGAAATACAGTGAGGAAACTGATTTGGTAGAGGTGTGCTTTTTTTTATTATTTATGGAAAAGATCCATTATATTACTATGCTAAGTACAGAAATTTTATTACATGTTAGAAAACCACACTGGTTGAAACTAGGAGTGCCTCCCAGTGAGAGTGTATACTTAGCATGTACTAAGAACTCTGGTGTCCCTCCGTACTACCGCAAAAAAAAAGTGAAGGGGCTGGGAAGGTGGCTCAGTGGTAGAGCACTTGCCTTGCATGCATGAGGCCCTGGGTTCGATTCCTCAGCACCCCACAAGCAAAAGAAAAAAAGGCGGAAGTGGCGCTGTGGCTCAAGTGGTAGAGCGCTAGCCTTGAGCTGAAGAGCTGAGGGACAGCGCCCAGGCCCAGAGTTCAGGCCCACAACCGAACCCCCCCCCCCAAAAAAGGCAAACAATTGTTCTTGCAAGCCAGCAAGTACTTGTGTGTGCTCTCTCCCCTCCCGCCCTCCTGTACCCCAACCCCTTTGTGGTTCTGGGGACCAAATCCAGGGCCATGGATGTTCGAGGGAGGCAGGTGCTCTGGCATTAAGCTATACATGTATAACCATGTGCCATCTTTGATCTTTGTGGTAATATTCAGAAGGCAGAATTTTAAGACCTGCAGAGTTTTGTTGTTGTTTTTTTTTTTTTTTTTTTTGTCGGTCATAGGGCCTGAACTCTGGGCCTGGGCACTGTCCCTCCGCTCTTCAGCTCAAAGCTACCACTTGAGCCACAGCGCCACTTCCAGCTTTTTCTGCTTATGTGGTGCTGAAGAATCGAACCCAGGGCCTCATGCATGCAAGACAAGCACTCTACTACTGAGCCACCTTCCCAGCCCCAAACTGCAGGTTTTTGTAATTTTTGTGAGCACTATGATGACCTTAAAATCTATGCTATGTTGATGAAGTAGATATAGCTGCATTTTTCGGAAGTGTTTATTAGTTACAATGTTTACAGTATTTTAGGAACCTTAGCCTTTTAGTCTTTGGAGGCATTTCCGGGAATTTCACTTAAGGGTTTCAAGTGGAGCTTACAGAAATCTACAATCCAGATCATCTCCTCCCCCCTTTTTTTTTTAACCTATACTTAGACACACACACACACATGTATGTCTCTGTGTGTGTGTGTGGTCTTGCAGCTTTTGCCTGTTGCTATTCTCCTTCTTAACGCCTTTTCTGTAGCGGGGATATGAACCTCCATTCCTGGATTGCTGAGATGGGGAACTGTGCCTGGTCACTTGGGATAACTATTTTTAACTAAAAATAATTTCAGATGGAATCCTAGCATAAATCTAAATTATGGCCTTAAAACTTAGCAAGCCAAACCCACTTAGAAACTTTGAATAAGGTACTCTTGAGTTGCAAGGAGAAAAAAACAACAATACTATTATCCTAAAGAAGACCAGGCTGAGCAAGACACTGGTGGCTCATGCCTGTAATCCCAGCTTCTCAAGAGGCTGAGATCTGAGGATCTAGGTTCAAAGCCAGCCTAGGCAGGAAAGTCTTCAATTAACCACCAGAAATCCAAAAGTGGTGCTGTGACCCAGAGTGGTAGAATGCTAGCCTTGAGTAGAAGAGCTCAGGGATGCCTCCAGGCCTCAAGTTCAAGCCCTAGGATTGACTCCCTTCCCTCCCAAAAAAAACATAGGCTGAAAATAAGAATCATAGATGCTACCAATACTAGGGAAGACATTTAAGATTTCTTAAGTAATTGTGCAAAATTCAGTGAAGTTCCACATGTTTTTTTGGAGGTGTGGGGGAATTGGAGTTTGGATCTCAAAGCCTCATGCTTTCAGGATGTGTTGTGTTCCTATAAAAAGTTTCATGCTTTTTTGTGAGAATTTTTTTTCTTGGTGGATTAAGGCATCCAGTAAGAACTTTGGGCTTTATTTGTGGTAGCACATTGATATGTAGGCTTGGAATGTGTTAGGAAGCTTTGGAGAACAAAAACTAATGCCTTACTGTTTTCTGTTTCAATTATGCAGCAGATATAATTTCTACAGTAGAATTTAATCATTCTGGAGAATTACTAGCAACAGGAGATAAAGGTGGTAGAGTCGTCATCTTTCAACAAGAGCAGGAGGTGAGTATTTAAAGTTTAATCTTGACCTTGAGACTAGAGTTTGTATTACCCTGGAGAAACTCATCAAAGGGTGTTGACATTTTTAGAAGGAATCTGTCAAGTAGAATTCAATCTATACATAGCTCTAGTTCTTTTAGCTTTGTTATGTGTACATGTACATCTGTTTTGATTTTAAAACACATTTTAATTGTAAAAAAGATTTGGTTACAGAGGAGGGTGGAAAGTAGTTGAATTATTCCATACTTTTAACTGGTTTTGAAACCTGTAACCAGTGAAAATGTTTCCCTTAAAACTAAAAGTAACTTTGACCCCATCTCAGTGCCTACTTTGCTTTGTGTATCTTAGGGTGCAGGGCTAAAGAAAAAGCAGCTCAGTTATTTTGATACCAGTTAATACTAATACTGTCACTGTGATTTAAATGTCATTGTTCCCTCGCTCTTTGAAGAAATTTCTCATTGTAGAATCTGTGATTTAAGTGCATTCTTGTTTTTCTTTCGCTTTAGGCATACTTCTAATCTGACTGACAAAATTTCTCACTAAAATTATTTGATAAAATTTGTCAGACCTATTTTCCCTGGCTCATTCCCTCTGTTTATAGGTCAAGGTTTATCCTTTAGAAAACCATTGTTTTGAAACCTCTGCCCCCAAACCCAGTCTATTATATTCAAAAAGAACGTAACATATTGTATATAAATCATAGGGTTTTACAAATATGTCTAAATCATACTTCCAAGCTAGGTTTTAAAGGATTGTGAAGTTCCTGGAATAAGCAAAGACTCTAGTAATAATACTACTGCTTTGCACTTCTATAGCGCCTTTGACCTGAGGATCTCAAAGTGCTTTACAAACACTAATGAATTAGTCCTCACAACACCCCAGTGAGGTAGGTAACTTAATTTTAAAAGAAATGATTGATAGTGTCTAATTAGAAGATGCACAAACACTAAATATGTTTCCTTTTATTTAATTTAGCTTTTTTGGTTGGAAGCAAAGAAAACTAAAACTCCAGCTGTGCTTGACAAAGAATGGTCTGGTGGGAAAGGGGCCAATGCAATCACGTTTTCTGTTTCTGTTTTCAAGCAGCTAACACTTGACTAGAATCTTGAAATACCTGGAGAAGTGACACTTTATGTATTAGCACAATTACCCTTTATTTACAAATAAGAAAGTCAAGCTATAAATAGCAAACGCAGTACCCATAGCTTCTGACTTGGTGTCTTTATTTGCTTGTTTGTTTTTGGGTTTTTGTTGTTGTTCTTCATGCCTTTCATGTTAGCTAACCAATGAATGCTAGCTTTTTAGAGTTTAGAGCAGGCTTTCATAAGTATTTTCTACACAGTCTAGTTTTTACTAAAAGGTCATGGCTTTTTACATACATTTTAAGGAAAAGAACTTAAAGAAAAACTTGTAAGCATGAATTTTGTCAGTGATTTTAGTTATACATAACAATGACAAAGGCTAACTTGGAAATGTTGTTTTCACCTTCTATAGGTGGTAGTTTGATTAAAGTCAAAATCAGATGATGAGGCTGGGCGCTAGAGGCTGATGCATGTGATCCTGGCTACTCAGGAAGCTGAGGTCTGAGATTCACAGCTCAAAGCCAGCCTGGGCAGGAAAGTTCATGAGACTTTTAGCTCCAGTAAACCATCAAAAAGCCATAAGTAGAGCTATGGTGTGGCTCAAGTGGTAGAACACTAGCCATGAGCAAAAAAGGTCAGGTACAGTACCCATCCCCTGAGTTCAAGCTCCAGAAACAGGACTGGAATTTAGGAGAAAATAGGGTGAATACTTGCTGTAATATGGAATTAGTCGATAGTTGTAGATAAATTATAGTTTAATGTTTTTCTAAAAACTCAATAACAAACTAATTTAGACATGAAGATATTCAGGTAGTTAGTGAGATTGCTCAAATATTTTACCTGGTTTCAGAAAATAAGATCAATGTTGTGCACCTGTGTCTCATACCTGTTATCGTAGCCACTCAGGAAGCTGAGATGGAGGACCGAGTTTTGAAGCCAACTTGAACAGAATAAAGGGAAAAAAACTCCAGAGGCTCCATTGAGAAAGCTAAGGGGGAGTACCTAGGCCCTGAGTTCAAACCCCAGTACCAGCAAAAAATGAAAGAAGGAGAAGGAGGGGAGAAGAAAATAAGATGAAATTTATATGAAAGAGTAATCATTTCTCGTGGTTTTCTTCTGAAATCCCACTACAGATTCCAAAATGCTAAGTCAAGTACTTATATATATCCTCCTAAGAAAAATGAGCAGAATGAAGATTGGGAATTGCTTAAAATACATTTTAAGAGATGGGTGAAATAACTGATAATGATGATTGACACATACACACGTCTTTGAAACTTCATCTCTTGTTAATGTATATTTGATATATTCCCCTATTTTAAAGTGGGTCTGAAACCATGTTGTCTTCAAGTTCTGTGTCATGTACTTTACAATTAATACAATTGGGTGAAAATTTAGGGATTCCCATCCATATGTATCTGTAAAATAGGGTTAGATAGAAAGGTGGAAGGGACTTTAGAGATTAATTTGCCCAACTTTTTAGATAAATACCAGAAAAAAGTGCATTCTGGGTATCCCATCATTCCTGCTGATCCACAGGGCGGGGCTCGGCAGGGGGAATGGGGCCTGCTGGCCCTCACGCGTGCTACGCAAGCCCTCTCTGAGCTATGCCTTTGGTTTGCATTTTTTATTTTTGAGGTATTCTCAGTAAGGTTGACTGGGCTTCTACCTGCCTCTACCCTTTGCATCGCTGAGACTGTAGGTACGTAAGCACAATACTTGCAATAGGTATTTCTTAATCTGTGATACTGATACAGATTTGTTGGCAAAACACAGTGGCATTTGATCTACTGTGGCTTTTTATTCTTACCTGTTGGTAAAGCTCTTCGTTAAACTTTATGGGCCTTATGTCATACAGTAGTAGCAGCAGAGACTTGGCACATTGTTTGGTATTTTTAATCCCTCCTTTTGATCTGGGATTTGGGGATGTAGTTTAGTAGTATAGCACTTGCCTGGCCATGCAGCATGTCCTGGATTGAATCCTCAGCATCTCAAGGAAAAGGATAAAATTAAGGCAAATGTCTTTCCTATTCTTATCCCTTTTCTGTGCTTCTGCTCCCAGGGCACGTATCTGTTAGTCAAAATGTAAAGAAATGTAATAGTCATTCAGAGGCTCTTCTTTCAGTTCCAGTGTATTTCAGATAGGTGTTGCTTAAATGTTTTTTAGCTGTTATCTAATAGTATTTGTAATATATTTGGATTAGGTTGCTACAACTGATGCTCTGTAGTAGAAACAGGAGACAAAGAAATTGAGGGAACATAGGTAAGGAGATTTCCCTGAGGTCATTTCTACCATCATGTGGGGAGAGTCAGAGATTGAGATTCATAACCCAGTGTTCTGACAGCATGTCTGGAGTAGCTGACCCATGCTATCTTGCCTGGTTTATTTTTACAACTTACATAATAGCCTTTGACAACAAAGGAAATGGTGGAATTTTTTCTTGGTTAGTGAGGTAATAGTTTTTCCAGTACTTGAGCAGTTGTGAGAGTAGATGGTGTGATGTTCTTTAATTTTGATAGATTTTTCCGTTTGTTTCCATGGGTGCTTAAATTAGGTGTGCAGCAGTTGTAGTAGGAGCCTACTTATTCAGGGTTGCTTAGACGTTTTTCACTTTCTGACAATATACCTTGCAAGGCAAATGTGTGGGGAAGGGGAGTAAGGTTTAGGGACAACTAAGGAGAAATATCAAGGAGGTTCTTTTCTCATTTCTTCGTATATTTTTTCAGATCTTTATGAGGCCTTTTTTCTTTTTTAGGTTGGATGGCATTTTCTTGGATTTTCTTTTATTCTTACTTTTTTTGTTGATATTCCCAAACTTGAAAACAGAATATAGGAAACACTTTAGAAAGCATGCTTGGGCTGGGAAGGTGGCTCAGTGGTAGAGTGCTTGCCTTGCATGCCTGAGGCCCTGGGTTCGATTCCTCAGCACCACATATGCAAAAAGAAAAAAGCCGGAAGTGGTGCTGTGGCTCAAGTGGTAGAGCGCTAGCTTTGAGCTGAAGAGCTAAAGGACAGCACCCAGGCCCAGAGTTCAGGCCCCACGACCAGACCCCAAAAAGAGAATAGAAAAGAAAAAAGAAAGCATGCTTATCCCTGAAAATAAGTAGTGTTGGACAAATATATTAATTACCATTTTGAATGATTTTGAAAGACTAGATTGGAGTTCACAAGAACATAGTTTAACAAAATTCATCAACCTGTATACAAAGCCAGAAAAGGGGGTTATTTAAGTGGAATGGTATTATTTTCTTCTTTGTAACTTTCTAAGATTATGTTTGATTGGTTTAAATGAGTAAAAGCTAATTCTTTATAAATTGAGATCAGTTTGTTTTTTTTTTTTGGTCGGTGCTGAGGCTTGAACTCTGGGCCTGGGCGCTGTCCCTCGGCTCTTCAGCTCAAGGCTAGCGCTCTACCACTTGAACCACAGTGCCACTTCTGGCTTTTTTTTTTCTTTTTGCTTATGTGGTGCTGAGGAATCGAACCCAGGGCCTCATGCATGCAAGGCAAGCACTCTACCACTGAGCCACCTTCCCAGCCCCTTTTTTTGAGGGGGGTCCAGTTGTGGGGCTTGAACTCTGGGCCTGGGCGCTGTCCCTCAGCTCTTCAGCTCAAGGCTAGCGCGCTACCACTTGAGCCACAGCACCACTTCTGGCTTTTTTTTTCCTGCTTATGTGGTGCTGAGGTGCATGCAAGGCAAGCGCTCTACCACTGAGCCACCTTCCCAGCCCATATAAAATAGAATAAATTCTTATGTGGTAATGAGGCTAATTGTTTCAGATCATACAAGAAAATCATTCTTAGTTGTATCTTTTTAATGTATAGATTGATCACCTATAATTTGAAAATGAGAAATGTGAAATGTTCAAATCTCAAGCTCTTTTGATAAGCAACATAATGCCACAGGTGCAGGAATTCTGTTCTTGACCTTGAATGGCAGATGGTCCTAAGATGAACCTAATACCACAGGTGCAGGAGTTCTACCCTTGACCTTGAGTGGCAGATGATCATAAGATGAAAATAATGACTTAAAAGTGCTGTGCAAGCTGCCTTGTGTTATTGGTGTAAGTTGTAGATGAAACAAATGAATTTTGTGTTTACATTCTGTTAAGGTATTTCATTGTGCATATATTCCCAAATGTGAAAAATTCTGAAATCCAAAACCTTTAGGGAGTACTTAGCTACAGTAGCTGCTGCTGAGTGCCCTCTTTTTTCTGTAGTTAGCATTAGAGAGAAGTTAGATTGAGTTTGAACTGGGAATTGTTCAGCCATTTCTTTGTGGCGAGCCTTTTGTTTTCAAGCTTTCTGTCCAGCTGCCATCAAATGCTACTTACTGATTTTTCTTTTTTTTTTTTTCTGGTCCTGGGGTTTGAACTAAGGACCTGGATGCTGTCCCTTGTTTTCCTCAAGGCTAGCACTCTACCACTTGAGCCACAACTCCACTATCCACTTTTTGATGATTATTTAGAGATAAGAGTCTCATGGACTTTCCTACCTGAGCTGGCTTCAAAGCTCAATTCAAAGCTCAATTCTCAGATCTGAGCCCCCTGAGTAACTAGATGGCAAGTGAGAGCCACTGGTACCTAGCTACTTAACTAATCTCTTGAAAGTTTCCAAGGCATTTGGGTATTACATTTTTGAGAAGTAGAAGATCATGTAAAGGTACTTCTGCTTATTGCTGAGCATAGCTTAAAGGTTACAGATAACATTTAGCCCTTTTTTTCTTTTTGTTGGTTGTGGGGCTTGAACTCACGCGTTGTTGCTGTCTCTGGGCCCCTGTGCTTAAGGCTAGCTAGCGCTCTACCACTTCAGCCACAGCACCACTTCCAGTTTTGAGTGGTTTATTGGAGATGAAGAGTTTCACGTGCAGCGGGATACTGGTGGCTCACACCAGTAATCCTAGCTACTCAGGAGGCTGAGATCTGAGGATCAAGGCTCAAAGCGAGTCTGGGCAGGAAAGGCTGTTGAGACCCATCTCTAACTGCTAGAAAACCAGAAGTGGTGCTGTGGCTCAAGTGGTAGAGTGCTCACCTTGAGCTGAAGAGCTGAGGGACAGTTCCCCAGAGTTTAAGCCCCTTGACTGACAAAGAGTCTCATGTGGACTTTTCTGCCTGGCCTGGCTTCAAAATGCAATCCTCAGATCTCAGCCTCTTGAGTAGCTAGGATTACAGGTGTGAGCACCAGCACCCAGAAGTCAGGTTTAAGTATAGTACATCTTGATCATGATCAGTATCACCCTTCCATTGTTCTCCCTCATCTTTCCCCATCCCTACCCTCAAGTTTGGTAGTTCAATTTTTATATAATGTCCATTGAATATAATGGCTGCATTTGTTCACTCTTCTCCCTCCATTCATGTGTCCACCTCTCATTGCTGCCCTCTCAATCTCTGACTCCCCACACAGTGGTAGAGAGATTACCTCAGAGAAATCTCCTTACCTATGTTCCCTCAATTTCCTTGTGTCCTGTTTCTACTACAGAGCAAATATTAATTACAAATCTATTAGATAGCAGCTAAAAAATCATTTAAGCAATACCTATCTGAAATACACTGGAACTGAAAGAAGAGTCTCTGAATGACTAGTACATTTCTTTGCATTTTGACTAAGAGATACATGCACTGGGAGTAGAAGCACAGAAAAGGGAATTGCAGGGAATGTCTGGCCCTAGGACTATATAAGGCCTGCAAAAGCATTGGTATGGGACAGGATCACACACACACAGAATGTGCTGTTTCAGGTCAGCTGTGTGGGCTCTTCTGCCTCTGCGTCATCACGGGCCATGCAAAAGTATCCAGACAGCCATTGTCAGAAGGAGTCTGCACCCTTGCAAAAACCTTCCTGTGTGCACATAATATAATGTCCTATGGTCTCTTCTTGGATTGTCCATGGAAGGAATTGAGGATATCCGTTCTGAATGTCACATTGTTATCTAGTGTATTGTAGCTTTCTTGGTATCAACAGTGATCCATGTGACAGGGAGAGTAATTTTTCGGTAGATTTCTGACATTTCTTCTAACATGATACTTGAGTGTTTAGTTAATAGATAAGGTGGTTGGGAACCAAGCTCTGGATTTGGTTTTTACCCCCTGCGTATTCCCAGGGTGGGTAATTATTGTTCTTCGGTACTCTTCATTTTACTTTTTGTTTTTGTGCCGGGCCTGGGGCTTGAACTTGGGGCGGGGCCTGGGGGCTATCTTGAGCTCTTTCCCTCAAGTCTAGTGCTCTACCACATGAAGGCCCAACTCCATTTCCATTTTCTGGTGTTTAATTAGAGGTAAGAGTCTTAGACTTTCCTGCCCAGGTTGGCTTTGAACTGTGATCTTCCGATCTCAGCTTTCTGGGATTATAGGCTTGAGCCACTGGTGCCCACCTTACAATGCATTCT